CCAAAGCCAAACTCCAGGTTCAAGGCCTGACAACACCACGTTGTAGCTATGTGACCCTGGGTGAGTACCTTCTCCTCTCGGTGCCTCAGTCTCCTCACATGTAAAATGGGGATAACAATAGTACCCACCTTATAGAGTTGTTAAGAGGATTAAAGCACCTAAGAGAATTCTAGCAACAAAGTATTAGGCAATTTACATCGGTAACCACATTAAGTATGAGTGTTAGTACTAAGCATTAAGTAGTTATTGAGCACTTACACGGAGTAGGAACAGTGCTAAGCATTTCATTACCCCCATTCATAACCTGAAAAGGGGGTCATAGTTATCCCCATTTGACAGGTCAATAGACTGAGGCTCACAGATGAACTGACTTGTCCAAGGTCCTCCAACTAGCAAATGGCAGAGTCACACTACAAATCTAGGTCTGCCTGCCTTCCAAATGCTTTTCAATACATCTCACCGTGTCTCTAAAAGACAGAGTTTTCCAGAATCCCTTTACCTGGGCAAGGCCAGGCTGCTTGTTGACGTTTTTTCCTTACCTTCCTGGCAGGGCCTCCCAGTCCCCCTGCCTCCTCTTGGCGAGGAGCTGGCTGTCTGTCTGGCATTTGTTTCTAGGTGGCATTTCAGGCAGCCACGCTCATTTTGCTTTCAACGCACAGAACTGGGAACTGAGTCAAATTGCAGAGAGGGTGGAGGTAAGGGGTTGGATTAATCAGAGCGTCCTTCTGCTTCCCGGATGTGTGGATGTGTCAGTGTCGGCACCGGCCTGTGGTCTGATACCGACCATTCAGTGCTTAGAAAACCCATCCACCCCAGGTCAGAGCAGAGGCACCGGGAGACCTGTCTCGCTGCTCTTGCACGCCACCCCGAGGGCATTTCAGGTACTGCACCGCCAAACACCTGTGGTTCTCAACCTTCCTAATGCTGTGACCCTTTCATACAATTCCTCATGTTGTGGTGACCCCCAACCATAAAATTATTTTCGTGGCTACTTCATAACTGTCATTTTGCTACTTGTATGAATCGTACTGTAAATATCTGATACGCAGGATGTATTTTCATTGTCCGTGACCCACAGGTTGAGAACCGCTAGGACCTGAAAACCAGCTGGGCCCGGCCCTAGCAGCCCTCTTCCCTGACACAGGGATGCCCTTCGTGGTCTGCTCCCTGGTACTCCAGCTACCGTTCCCAGAGCATCATGCTCACTCATACTGCCACACCTTTGCATGCGCCATTCCCTCTCTCTGGGATGGCCTCTCTTAGCTTGTCTACCAGGCAAAGTCCTATTCATTCATATACCAATTTTCAGCCCAAATACTCTCTCTTCCATGAAGTCTTCTTTTAAAAAACATCTTATACTTTAATATGTTTTTAAAAATTGATTTTAGAGATAGAGGAAGTGAGAGGGAGGGGGGAGAGAGAGAGGAGAGAGAAACTAAACCTGAAACCTGGGTATGTGCCCTACTAGGAATTGAACCAGTGACCCTTTGGTGCACAGGTTGACTCTCAACCAACTGAGCCATACCGGCCAGAGCTCCTTTGACTTCTTATAGAGTCATAAGGAAACACTTCCCACGTTCCCACTGTGTGTTACAACTTCAAAAAACAAGTATTTTGGTGTCTGCCTCTACACTAGTAACTAAGCTGCAGGACGGCAGGGATCATGAGTTTAAATCTTTGTCTGGCCTGGAGGTGACAAACTGGAAGGCTACAAATACATTTAGTCTGCCCTATTGTGTCTTAGAAAAAGGTGAATATGCTGCCAATGTTTAAAATCGGGAGTCTCATATGAAAATCTAGATGTCCAGTTTCCCTTAAAAAGCTGCAAGACATGGCACAGTGGGTCTGCATGTCCATAGAGCAACAACCAGCTGGAGTAGTGGGTGCCCCCTACAGACAGTCAGGCACTCTCCATTTTGCCAGAGTCCCCAGGAGTCCCCACGGTGTGTACATGCCCTTGACCCCTGAAGGATGTTGCTTGTGGAGGAGGTGCTCAACAAATGTGTACACCGGATGTATGCTTGGATGTATGCATGTATGGGAGAGGGAGAGGGAGAGAGAGAGAGAGAGAGAGAGAGAGAGCAGGAAATAGCCTGGGTAGAGGATAAAGTGAATTTACAAGACTTGCTCCTGGCCCTTTGGGTTGCCTGCCCCCAATACTGAACCAGCAGGAAATGACACAATGGCTGGAAGGATAAACACCTTCTGTTTGACCTTCAGGAAAACAGTTCATGACGGGAGGTAGCCAGGAGACTTCAGGGCCACCGCAAGGTCAGGAGAGGAGTCTGAGGTATAAATCCCTCCACTAGTGTTGAATGTTATTTTATAGCCTCAAACCCAGAACTAGATGAGTGGTCAGTGTTTTCTTTTGGGACAGGACAACCCTTCACTATGCAGGATGCCCTTCACATTCCAGGATGTTTAGCATCTCTGACCCCTGCCTACTAAATGCTGGGGTGTTCCCTCCCCATTCCCATTACGGACAGAATATGCATGCCCCCCCTCCCCCGCCCCAATGTGGTTGTATTTGGAGGCGAGGCCTTTGAGAGATAAGCAGGTTTAGAGGAAGGTGGGGCCCATGATGGGATTATAGGCCTTCTAAGACAGTGGTTCTCAACCTTCCTAATGCCACGACCCTTTAATACAGCTCCTCATGTTGTGGTGACCCCCAATTTCATTGTTACAAATTTCACTGAACATAATTAAAGCATAGTGATTCATCACAAAAACAATATGTAATTATATGTGTTTTCCGATGGTCTTAGGAGACCCCTGTGAAAGGGTCGTTCGACCCCCAAAGGGGTCGCGACCCACAGGTTGAGAACCGCTGTTCTAAGAAGAGGAAGAGAGACAAGAGCGCACCCCTCTCCCCCAATCCTATGCAGCCAGAGCAAGAAGCAAGAAGGTGGCTATCTGCAAGCCAGGAAGAAGGCCTGCACCAGGGGCTGAATCGGCTGCCACCTTGACCTTCCCTGCCTCCAGCATGTGAGGAATAAACGTCTGTTGTGTAAGCCATGCGGTCCACGGTATTTGTGATAGCCGCCGGAGCTGGCTAAGATCCCT